TTTTTTTTTTTTTTTTCCCCCCCCCAAAGGGGGTTTTCCTTTTAAAGTCCAGGGCTCCTTTTCTGAGCAGACGAGGCTTCTGTAGGATGCTCATTCCATGAGCCTAGGTTGACTAATCCTCCACATCCCATGAGCTGTTCCATCTTAGTCGTACTTACCACACAGATCGAATACTTCTCTAAAAAAATTAGTTATGCAAGCAGCACTCTGCCCAGGAAAAGCAAAAGAAAACTGAGACCACAGTGTCCAAGTCCAAACTGCCCTGTTCTTTGCAGCCATAGCATTAGCGCCACCCCACCGTGGCCAACTAGTAAAACTCTACTTGTTTTTTTTCTAAAATTTATCTTTATTGCTGAAAATATTACAGATGTCCCCATTGTATTTTCCCCCAATTGATTCCCTCTAACCCACACCGACCCCACCCAGGCCTCCATCCCATTATTGTCTGTGTCTATGGCTTATTCTCTTTTTTTATATATATGTTTTTATTGATTTCAGAGAGGAAGGGAGAGGGGGAGAGAGAAACATCAATGATGAGAGATAATCATTGACTGGCTGCCTTCTGCACGACCCCTACTGGGGATCAAGCCTGCAACCCAGGCATGTGGCCTTGACCAGAATCAAACCCGGGACCCTTCAGTCCCCAGGCCAACGCTCTATCCACCGAGCCAAACTGGCTAGAGCTCTACTTGTTCTTTGAAGCTTATCTCAAGCAGAGCCTTCTCTGCAATGCTTCTCTGATTCCCTCGAGGCTGGAAGATTCTGCATCTTCAGTGCCATTAGTTCTCTGCAAAGCCTTACAGTAGGGCAGCCCTGAATCATATTGCATGGAAACTGTTTACTTGTTTGACACCCCCATTAAACTAGACACTCCCCAAGAACGACCTATTTTATTGTTTATTAATCCCCAGCACTAATCCCCAGCACTAAGTATAATCTCTGCCTTGTAGCTGTCTCAATACACTTTTCCTGAATGAATGAATAAATAAAAAGTGGAATTGAGAATACCAACAATCAGAATTGGAGAACTGTTATAACGATTCCTTACTTTTTAGTGTTCTTTATTCTTGTTTGTGCCTCTGCTTTTGGTATCGGGGCCTCTATAGCATTTTTTAAAACAACAGCCGTTTTATAATGCTCACAATTTTGTGGATCAGGAAGTCAGGCAGGGCACACTGGGGGTGGTTTATCTCTGCTCCAGGATGCCTAGGGCCTCAGCTGGAGTGTATCTAGCAACTGGGCATGGCCCAGATGGCTCACCTGGAGCCATACATCTGGAGTGTTAGTTCCAGGTGTCAGCTGGGTTCCTCAATTCTTCTCCAGGTCATGTCTCCTGTGTCCATAACGGCTTCTTCCCTCACATGTCAGGTGCCTGGCCTGTGAAAGCTAGAACATGTGGGACTGGCTGGACCTCCCTCACAGCCTGGTGGTCTCAGTGTAGTCAGATTGCTTACTGGACACAGATATACAGGGTGTCCCCCAAAAATGTATACATAAGTTAACAGCTGACAGCTCATTTTGAAAATGAAATGTATTTTAGTAAACACTGCCTTTAAAATTATTCAAAGTGTGTGTATTCATTTTGGGAGGACACCCGATATAATCCGAGTGTTTCACTTTTTTTTTTTTTCATGTAAACACATGAATCTAAAAAGGGAAAAGTGTGGTGAGCAACATTCCATCAATTAAAGAAAAAAACTTTCAAAGCCAGTTTCTTCACTGTTGTGAAGCTCATCCGGAACATCACCTTACAATGGATGATGCTAAACATCCTGTAAGTCCTATGCAATACTTGGCATCCGAGTGATCCCCCTTTCTTTTTGGTCTCTGAGTTTTCAGTAGCTAGAAAGAAACAGATTTCTGCAGGTGCTTTCAGAAACAAATTTGCCATAGGTTAAGTTTATTCCATGATGCCTCAATTTATGTGCTTGAGAACAACATTTATGTACATCAAATTGAGAAAAGAGCAGAATTTTTTTTTTTTAAATCTTTTTTTTTTTAATATATTTTATTGATTTTTTACAGAGAGGAAGGGAGAGAGATAGAGAGTTAGAAACATCGATGAGAGAGAAACATCGACCAGCTGCCTCCTGCACATCTCCCACCAGGGATGTGCCCCCAACCCAGGTACATGCCCCTGACCGGAATCGAACCCGGGACCTTTCAGTCCGCAGGCCGACGCTCTATCCACTGAGCCAAACCGGTTTCGGCAAGAGCAGAAATTTTGTAAAACCTACATGCTAAGAACATTCTATTTTTTTCTAGTGATTACTTTAATAAAGCAACTTAGAATCTATGGTATCAGAGGATGAGTTGCCTCTGTCCAATAAAACCATTGCATGAAACCACGCTTTAAATATTATCTTTGCTACTTTTAACTTGCAATTTCCATGTGAATGTGCACCGTGAAATGCTTTACGTGCATAAACTAATACCCACAAAATCCCACGACACAGTAATATGAAAGCCCCACAGGGAAGTTTTCCACAGGGAACCCAGCTGACCTCATCACAGAAGG